ATCCAAGATTAATAAAATAATATTATAAATTACCAAAATAATATAAAAGATTACTAAAATTTTATCAAAGATTATCAAACTTATAACAAAGGTTATCAAATTATATCAAAGGTATTTAAAATCAAAATTATATAAAGGTTATTGAATTATATTAAAGGTTATCAAAATTAAAATTTCATTAAAAGTTATCGAAATTATATCAAAACTTACCAAAATTATATCCAATATTATCAAAATTATATCATAAGTTATCTCAATTGTATTAAAAATTACCCTAATTATATTATGATTACAAAAATTTTGTCAAAACTTACCAAAATTGTATCAATGTTTATTAAAATTATATCATAAATTACTAAAATAATATCAAAATTTATCAAAATTATATAATAAGTCACCAAACTTTTATTATAATAAAACCTAGTTAATATATTCAACATTTTTATTTAAGGAAATTTTTATAATTTAATTATATTAATCTTATAATTTTTGCTTTTCATTATGTGTTATTTCTTTTTTAACTTTAATTAATGTTAAACTCCAATAAAATTACATTTTACTTTTACAAACGAATTAAAGAAAAACTACATTCAATATTAAAATTTCAACAATATACCAAATGATATTTTATTGTAAATTTATTTTCAAAGTTAAAATTTTCTCACTTAATTTTTTAATATTAGAATCTTCAATTTATGAAACAATTCTTTGTATATGTTCATTCAAAATTTCTTATTTGGGTTTTTTTTTTCTCTTTTCACTAAACATCTTATATATATATATATATATTTGTTTCTTTCCTTAACTTATAAAAATTTTGTAATAAAATAACCTAATCACTCTTGATCTTAATAATCTCAAAAATATTATTAACCATTTTTAATGTCACTAATGTTTTAATTTACAACTCTTTGCGATTGTCTCCAATTCAATTTAAATAAATGTGTTCTCTAAAATTTTCGTAAATATAAGATGACTTCAAGATGGATTAGCATTTTTTTAAAAAGATGTGTATAAATTAGCATTAATATGTATCATTATACATACTTAAACTCATAGGAAAAGATCTTTTCCACTACTTAAAAAGTAGTAGAAGTTTTCACTAATTTATCTAATGGCCAATAATGCATATTCACCGAAATTCATGATTGAAATTTAATGATTTTAAATTGAATATGAAAATAAATAAAAATTAATTAAAAAAACAAAAATGATTTAAACAAATATCAATAATAAATTTAGGAGAAGGTGCATTTTTTATCCTTAAATAAATTAGTGGAAAGAGAATTTTTTCATAAACTCATCACCTTATTATTGCTTGTCCAGCATTGTCACTTGCATAAACAATCATCAATACACATAATTTGTAATTTTTTAATAATGTAATAAATACATTGATATTGTCAAAATTCAATTAGAATAATTATTTCTGACTATTCCAATTTTTCTGCAAAATTTTCATTATTGTCACTTGGTCATATTGAATTTTTATAAATTTTCTTGATATTTTTGTTTTTTTTCAAAAATTTTACCTGAAGTTAGTGTTGCACAATTGAAAATTAATTAAATTTTTAATGTTTTAATTTCTTTGATGTGTTTGATAACTTACTTAAGAAACCATCTAAAGGAATATTTTTTTGAAAAATGCTGAAAAATATAAAATAGATAAAACCTTCTTAATGTATTCAACAATGCTATTTAAGGAAATTTTTATAATTTAATTTCATTAATCATATGATTTTCTTTTTTATTATGTATTATTTCTTTTCTAACTTTAGTTAATGTTTTTTGAAATTAAAGAAATTTAATTAATATTAAATCCTAATAAAATCACTTTATACTTTTACAAAAAATTAAAGATAACATCCATTCAATATTTAATTTTTAACAACATACCAAATTATATTTTAGTATAAATTTATTTTCAAAATTCAAATTTTCACACTTAATTTTTCAATATTTAATTTTTCAATTTATCAAACAATACCAAATCTTTTATATATGTGCATTTTGAAATTTTAATTTGTTTTTTCCTTTTCACTAAACTTTTTTTTTGATAAAATCCGTTTTATTTCTTCCCATGCTTAATTGCTTCCAATGCTTTTGGCTTCTTTAGAAATCATTGTTGCTTCAAATTTTTACTTTTATACTTTCATAAAAATTATTTTATAATTGAACATGTTTGTATACATACACACACATATATATTAATTACATATTAATTAACCTATATAAAACATTTAATGCAATAGTACATTAATTTTGGTAAAAAAATTGCTAAAGTAACTTATTTGTTTTAAGATACAAATTTTTTAGTACTACAATTGAATCTAAGATCTCTTATCTAAATCTCACCAAAATTTAGTGACTTGAGTTAAATATCAGAGGCTTATTGAACAAATAACTTAGTATATCAAAAAAATATTTTGATATATTATTGTTTGTTTTTTATTTTTTGTTACCAAATTCCTAATTAATGTTCAATTATTGTGATAATAAGTTAAATATATATGCACCATCAATACGAAACTTTTATTTAAAGCAACATTATATATATATATATAATTTTTGTATTCATACATAAATTAAAAGGGAATAGAGATGTGGATTTAATACAAATTAAAGGTTAAACATTACATAGGATAGATAGAGCTATCAATGATGATCCCAACTTAGAAAGTTTGCTTAATCCAATAGAGCCCAATTTATTAATAAATTGAATCCGAAATTATCTAAATCCAAATGACTCATATCAAAATGATTCAAAATTAAATTTGTTTGATTTTAAAGTTTAATAATTTGAACTTGAAATAACTAGAACCAAATGACTGGATCCCAAAAAGTACAAATGTCAAGCGCAAATAATCATAATCTAAAATAACCCAAGAGATCATTTAAATTAAATCTAAAATGACTTGAATTCAAAATAACTCGATTTATTTTTACCTAAAATAATTTGAGTCAAAATTATCCAACTCAAAACTTGACTCAACTTGCCCAATTGCCACTTCTAAATCAATGCCTATATTTTTTTTCTTATACACACAAAAAAGATCGTTTTATATTTTATTAGTTGTTGTTATTAACAAAATTTATTTAAGTTTTCTTGGATAATTTTTTCTAAACATTTATGGAACCTACATTAAAACAAATTTGAATGAAAATTGAAAAAAGGAGATATTAAAATTCAGAAATAAAAACTCCCTTAAATATTGTAATCATTAATTTTAATCTACCACAATAATAATATTAAAATTCTAATCAATTGTAATAGCCAAATAAAAAAAAAAAAAAACCCAATTGAAAGTAATATCATGAAACAAATAAATAACTTTGTTAATGGTCTAACCCGTAAACCAACTCTAATCTATTTAATCAACCATCTAGTTGTCAATTTTCATGGATGCTAATGACTTTTCAATGAAAGTCTAGTTTTCATACAAAATGAAGACTACTTAAATAATTTAATTAATAAAATTTTAATAATGATTAAATTATATATATTAAAATAATCCAACCATTATGCTTTGCTAATATTATCAAGGAAAGTAAAATATAACATGAAATTGACTACAGTATAATAAACAAATTAAGATGAGACAAACAGTTTTTATATTTTTCATAAAAAATAATGTTGCCAAAATAAAAAAGCTACTTTATGTTAATGTAACCCAGAGTTGTTAGTTATCTTGACCGATGAACATAGATATCTAATACTGTTTCTACCAAGAACAGGATACGATTGCTACGTGCTACAAGCAAAGAGTTATCTCGGGCGAAAGTTAGAAAATTGCTTACACGTTTCCTTTTCATGCTTCTAATAATGACATATATACACAATTGCATCAATTATCATGCTAGAAAATTGCTTTGCATGAAATATATATTCCTAATCAAACGAAATAAAATTTTTTACCTTCAATATTCTATATAAATGAAATTACTAATAAATTCAAAACAAAATTCTAATGGCATTAATTATTTCACTTCCTTTACTGAAATGTATTGACGTGTTTCTCTCTTAATTTCTTGATGTTCAAATTACACATTCTTAAGTTGTTTGTAGGTTTATTGGGCTATTTTCTGAGACAAACAGAACTATTTCAAACCCTGCAAGTTATTGTGTTATCCTCCTCCTACTCCTTAAAATGTTGACTTTGTCTTCTTCATCATCTTCTTCCATTTATCCATCGAAATATCACATTTTTTTGAGTTTTAGTGGTAAAGATACCCGAAAGAGCTTCACGGCCCATCTATATGTTGCTTTCCCATCTATATGTTGCTTTAAATCGGTACGGAATCAACACTTTCAGGGATGATAACAACCTTGAAAGAGTGAAGGACAACGGACTCGAGCTCTTGAAATCAATCGGAGAATCATGGGGTTCAGTAATCGTTTTTTCGAAAGGATATGCTTTTTCAAGTTGGTGTTTAGATGAGCTTGCCGAGATTGGGAAACAGAGGAAGGAAAGGGGACATCAAGTTTTTCCATTCCCCTAATATTTGGCAATGTCTATATGAAGTCCTGTTGATAGCCGATGGATCTCAATTTGCCATACATAAGAATAGTAAATTTTACAGTACTTGACAATCCCAGGCCTTAATTTTGTGTAATCTGCTTACTGTTTCTTATTCTTAAGAGCTGATGGTTTTGATAGACCCGCAAACGCCAACAATTATGGCAGACAAGCTAATAAAAAAAGATGGAACTTACTACGAGATTGCACTTTGCTTTAAGTCTGCCTTGTGGCAACTGCCATGAAAATGGCACCAAGACCATAACAATTGAATTGACTCATAATAATTGAGGTCATTTTGCTTGCACTTTCCTAGGCAGTTTCTTTTTCTTTGCACTTTCCTAGGCAGTTTCTTTTTCTTACTTTTTTGGCTATTCTTTTCACTACTCTCCCTATTATTTCTTAGTTAATATCAATCAAGATGACTTCGACGTGCTTTTACCACTAGCTAATTAACTATTTCTTTGCTCCTTAAATATCTTCTACCAGGGTTCTATAGTTACCAAGGAAGTTTGCTTCTTGCTATCTGCCAGCCATTTTTTTCTTCACTGATTTTTCTTCCCTGTTGGAGGTCTTGAAGAAGTATCAGGCTACGAAGGGGGTTCAAATTAGTAGGTAATTTTCAATTCAGTTATTTTCAATTTCCTATGATGTTGACTTTACAATGATTGTATTTTAACTTTATTAAAAACATTGTTCAGATGATTTTATATCGTCTTGTTTAGAACATGAATATTTGGTTAAGCATGATGAACAATTGTAATTCGACTTGGCTTTAATTATACAAGTAGTACTGGGTATTGCTGAAAATCAACAAAAAGTTTAATTTCTTGATGCTCAAAATTGATATTATTAAGTTTGTTTATAGGTGTATTACGCTATTTTTTGAGATAAACGGAACTATTTCAGACCCTGCAAGTTATCGTGTTATCCTCCTCCTACTCCATGTTGACTCTGTCTTCTTCATCATCTTCTTCCATTTATCCATGGAAATACGACATTTTCTTGAGTTTTAGTGGTAAAGATACCGGAGAGAGCTTCACGGACCATCTATATGCCGCTTTAAATCGGTACAAAATCAACACTTTCAGGGATGATAACAACCTTGAAAGAGGCGAGGACATCGCACCCGAGCTTTTGAAAGCAATTGGAGAATCATGGGGTTCAATAATCGTTTTTTCGAAAGGATATGCATTTTCAAGTTGGTGTTTAGATGAGCTTGCCGAGATTGTGAAACAGAGGAAGGAAAGGGGACATCAAGTTTTTCCGATTTTCTATGATGTTGAAGTCTCTGATTTAAGACATCAAAGAGAGAGGGTTCAAGAAGCCTTTGACATGCATGGAAAGAGATATAAAGAGAACAAAGATAAGATGCAAAGGTGGCGAGATGCTTTATCCCAAGTGGCTAATATCAGTGGATGGCCTTTGAAAGATCAGTAAGTTATAACTTCTTTTTTTTTCTTTTGGAAGTTCAAACTCAAGACCTTCAATCCTTGACTTGACTCCAATAATACTAAACTAACAGTTAATTGGTAGTTATAGCTCTTTCTTTCTTTACTAAAGTTTTTTCTCTTTTTTTTTGTAATTTATCAAACAAAAAATGTGTCAACAAATCTTTAGATTTAATAAAAATATAGGGTTTGATTGATCGCTTATTTGATAACAGTGTCATTTTTTATTCTTTGTTTAGTATGATTTGTACAATTACACTTCACACAAAACAGTATTGAATTTTGGATTTATTTTTTCAGTTTAGGGGCCTCTAAAATACTAACGCTAATTTTCTAGGGATAGAAAATGATTGATTCTTTTATTAAATAAACATGTCTTAGATTCGCACCCTTAATAGTCAATTTGTCTAATTAAATTAAAATATCCTCTTTAATTGGCCAATAAAAATTTTAAATATCCTTCTTGGAAATTTACTGCATCTATTTATATGGTTATAAAATTCATCAATTTGGTTTGTGATACACATATTTCTTGTTATGTATGTAGGGACTTGAAGCAATAGATTTTTTTCATAAAAAGATCGATGAAGATACATCGTTATCCTGTAATAGCTTGTCTGCGGAGAAGATCTAACAGAATACGGGGAGATTCGTCATGTCGAAAGTGAGGGTGAAATCATCCCTCCAAATTCTGAAGCTTCACTTGAGATTGGGGAGAAACAAATCAATCAACATGGAGATCCATCTTGTGGTAGCTCGTCTCCCTGCATCTTTAGAACTCCTTACCCTGAATTAAATTTCCAGAAGCCTCAGTTAGTTTCTATTGGCCCTTATCACAGGGGTGAAAACCTTCCACTCCAAAATAACAAGTACTTCTTCCTTGAGAAATTTATATCTCGGAAAAAAAACCAAGGCAAAGATTTACACTTCTATGTCCAGGATATGATGACACTGGAACGGCGTACGAGAAGATGCTACTCCGAGGATTTGCCAATGTCCAGTCTCGATTTTGTTGAAATGATGTTAGTTGACGCTTGCTTCATACTGGAGGTCCTACGCCATTTTGGTAGGAGTGAAGAATCTGAAGATGAGTTTTTCCCCATTGAGCCATGGAGGATCCCCATTTTGGTTCAAGACCTGCTTATGCTAGAGAACCAAATTCCTTTCTTTGTCTTAGAGAAGTTGTTTGATTTATGGGATAGCGAAGAAGGACAGCCACACTTTCTGTAACCACTATGGCCTTGAAATTTATCGGTCTAGTCTTCCCAGGATCCATGGATTTCAGCTGCAAGTTCAACCATTTGGAAGCCAACCATCTACTTGACTTGTTTCTCGAGTCCATCCGCCCATTAAACAGATCCACCATCTCAAATTCACTCCATTTGAAAACAATGGTCATTCCAAAATCAGTTCACTCATTTCTCAAGAAAATCAATCCGAGAAACCAAGCAGGCGTCTCAAAGAAAAGCCAGGATATCCTTTTAGCTACCTCTGCAACCATTCCAAAGTTAAAGGAATCCGAACCATCAATCTCAATGGGAGTCAAACTTGAACAACAACGTGATCCTCCACCTCCAATTCACTCAATGAGAAGTGCAATGGAACTACAGTCATCAGGTATAGAGTTCAGGCGGAGAAGAGCTAATAGGTTCACAGATATCAATTTAAAGGATGGAGTGCTTGAAATGCCACCCGTAACCATCAATGACTTCTTTCTTGCAATCCTTATTAATTGCATGGCCTTGGAACATCGTTCTGAGCAGAGGTCCAAAGATTTGATTGCTTATGTCTCATTCATGAGTAGTCTCATTACACATTCTACCGATGCAGAGCTGCTAAGTTCAAATGGAATTATCTCAAGATTTTCATACGATTACAAAACAATGGCAAAGTCTTTGCATTCTTTAGGGGTAAAAACTCTTAATCTGGACATTCAAGATTCCTATCTTTCCAAGACATTGAAGGAAACAGAACGCTACTGTACTAATTGGGATAGAAAAACTTGGTGTTGGTGGCGTTGCTTTCGTAGATTTTATGGGATTGCTTTATTCTACATCACAAACTTCTCGTTTGCTTTCAACCTTTTGACAGCGGGCCTTAATTTGATGCTCCATTTAGTAAAAGAAGTTAATTTCTGGGGCACAACTCCCTGAACTTGGGCCTGAGCAAGTTTTTGGTTTTCTGTTTCCTCAATCTGATCATTGTTATTGCGATCCTCATGAGTTCAAAGCATGGCTCCAACTTTGATGATGATTGTGAAATTCCTGGTCTTTCAACACTTATAGAGGTAGAACATTCACTCCATATAATTGAAAAGTCAGTGGACGACAGTACTGGAGTGTCATGTTCTTATGAGACAGCAGTAGATGACAATAAGGGGAGCAAAGTTTATCTGATCATAAGGGATAGGAAAAAGAACCAGATCAAGACAAGTGCCATGAGGATCTGGAAGCTGGGTAGGTAAACATTTTCTTTTTCTTGGATGGATATTCTTTTACTGCATTTGTTTACATGGTTATAATATAAAGTCCATCAATACATATTTGTTGTCACATACGCAGGGACTTGATAAGAAAATGAATGACCTAAACAGAAAACTGCAGAGACTAAAGGTTCTAAAAGAAGACACTAAGTCCAGAATGAGCGCAAAGCTGCAGCATCCAAGAAAGAAACTAAAGGAAAAAGTTCAGTTGTGGTTGAAAGATGTTGACAGAATAAATGAGGAAATACAAGACCTTCAACAAAATTATTTCAAGAAGATAGGAGAAGTTGATGAACTTCTTCAACAGGGTAAGTGTCAAGATAGCCTGGTTGTTGAAGACCTTGGGTGGATTGAACAAGCGCTATGTACAACAACTTTCATCGGTGATGCCTCAAAGATGTGCATGGAAGAAATTTGGGCATATTTGATGGATGATGGTTTTTCAAAGATTGGAGTTTGGGGAATGGGAGGATCGGGTAAAACAACTATCATGGAGCTCATCAACAACCAACTTTTAAAAGAGATTGAAAAGTTCGACACCGTGATATGGATCACTATATCAGAGGAGTTGAACATCTTTAAATTACAAGACAGCACTGCAGATGCTATGCAAGTAGACCTTCCTAAAGATGAATATGAAGCAATCAGAGCAAGAATCATATACCAGGGGCTGTCTCAAAAAGACAAGTATGTGTTAATCTTGGATGATCTATGGGACAAACTTTCTCTTGAAGAAGTAGGCATCCCCGAGCCTTCTAATGGGAGTAAACTAGTGGTAACAACCCGGTCATTAGATGTGTGTTACTATTTGGGTTGTCAAGTAGTTAGAATGCCTACTCTTTCAAAATCAGATGCTTGGAGATTGTTCTCAGAGAAAGTAGGTGAAAGATCTAGAGTAGAGGAAGAACAAAGGAAAAAATGAAGAAACAAATCTGGTATTGCATTAAATTGCCTCACACAGATCATGAGCTTCATTTCATTAATTTATAGGCTTCAAAAATACAAAAGTTTGTTTAATTACTACAAAAGTTGTTTGCCTAACAGTATGGATCACCATACACAGATCCATCATGCTACCTAAACTGATAAAATGACAGAACAAGTTACACAAGTTGCAGTAGAAATGCCATACCTAGTTGCTTCAACCACTAACACTCCTCCTTGGCATTTTTGCTGGAAACACCAAGACTTTTCCTTAATGTTTGAAACCTTGCCTTTGGTAAGGCCTTGGTCAGAAAATCTGTAATTTGATTTTCTAACTTGCAATGCACCAGCTTCACTTCATTTTTGGATTCAACTTCTCTAATAAAGTGATACTTGATCTTAATGTGCTTAGTTCTGCCATGAAACACTGGCTTTTTAACCATTGCAATTGATGATTGATTATCACAAAAATATCATATTGCTTTTGACTCAAATCCATCGGAATTTTCTTTAACCAAATTGCTTGATTAACAATAGTTGCAGTAGCTATATACTCTGTTTCTGCCGTCAATTGAGCCACAGTTCCTTGTTTCTTTGAGTTCCAGCTTAACACATTTAATCCAATAAAAAACACATAACCAGAAGTGCTTTTCATCTATTCATGAGAGCCAACCTAGTCATTGTCTGTGAATCCAACCTGTCTTGAATTTTCATTCTTCTTAAACCAAATTCCAAGTTCATTGGTTTCTTTGCCATATCTCAACACTCTTTTTGCAGCCTTAAAATGCAACTCATTATGACTTCGCATGAACCTAGAGAGTAAATTTGCAACATACATGATGTCTAGTCTTATTACTGTTAAATACAACAAGTAACCGACCAAGCTTTTATAAATAGAGCTATCAACTTTGTCAGCTCCAACTTCCTTAATGAGTTTTTCATTCTGAGCCAAAGGAGTGTTGACTAGTTTACAATTTTCCATCCCAAACTTATTTAAGATTTCATTTGTATATTTTTTTTGACAAATGAAGATTCCTTGTTGGTCTTGATGAATCTCCATTCTAAAAAAATAAAACATTTCTCCCATATCTGTCATCTCAAAAACTTCTTGCATTTGGTGTTTAAAATCCTCCATAATAGTTGATTTGCTACTTGTCACCAAAAGATCATTAACATACAAAGAAACAATCAATAGATCATTACTGTCAAAAACCTTAATGTACAATGTTGCTTCACTAAGACTTTTCTTGAATCCTAACTTTAGCAAATGATCATCAATTCTGGAATTCCAAGCTCTTAAAGCTTGTTTTAATCCATACAAAGCCTTTTTGAGTAGATAGATTTTGCCCTCATCTCCCTTAGCAACAAAATCGTCAAGTTGTTTAATATATATCTCTTCTTCAAGATAACCATTCAAGAAGGCAGATTTGACATCAAGTTGGTATATTTTCCAACTTTTCTGAGTTGCTAAGGCTAATAGCAATCTTATGGTGTCCAACCTTGCATTTGGAGCAAATGTCTCTAAAAAAATCAACACCATGCTATTGGGAGTAACCTTTAGCTACCAATCTAGCTTTCAGATGGAACCATTTGCATTCAACTTTGTTTTGAAGTTCCATTTAACACTAATGATGGTTTTGTTGCTTGGTCTATCAACCAATATCCAAGTTTGATTCTTCTTAATCATTTGAATCTCCTCCTTCATGGCATTCCTTCATTCTATAATTTTGACAACTTCTTCGAAGTTTGCAGGTTCAAGAATGGCAACATTTGATCTTTGATAAATATCTATGAGAGGTCTGATTCCCCTTACTGGTTTATGGTCAATGTTTTCATTTTCAAACATGTAATCTTCTTGATATTGAAAGCTTATCATGTCTGCAATAATTCGCTTAACTGATTCTCCCTTTGACTTTTCCTAATTCTAAGTAACTTGCTTATTACATCTTGCATTCCTATTTACAATCACCTTGACTGTAAGTGGATTGTAAGCCTTATAGCCTTTGATGATGTTGCTATAGCCCAAAAAAATATAGATTTTTGCTTTTTGATCAAGTTTGTCTCTTGATTTCAGAAACAAACACATAACATATGCTGCCAAAACTCTGAGATGTTGCATTGATGGTTTGCTTCCATATTAGGCTTCAAACAGTGTTTTTCCCTCCAAAGCTTTTATGGCCAGCCTATTGAGCAAGTAGACAGAGGTATCGACTACCTCTGCCCAAATCTTCTTGTGAAGATTCTTCTAAAAAAGCATGCATCTTGCCACTTCCATGAGCTAAATGCTCAAATTAGGATCAAACATTTAGGTGGGTACTCAATTTAGGATCAAATATTTTAATTTGTCCAAATAAAGATCAAACGTTATCGACTTGTAACAATATAAGATTTATTTTAATGGTAAAAAGAATGTACATCTTACACGTCATTAAATTACTCACATGTAAAAGCCATCACTGATAAAATATGACGTCAAATATGACGTGAAATTAATTTATCCACGTGTAATGATAGCTTGAGCTTATTATGGTTGTTTTTTAAGTTTATTCTTTTTTTTTTTTACTTTCTTCTTTATTGTTTCTGTTTGTGAGACAACTTCAGCTTAAGATTTTCTTCTCATTTCTTCTCGTTTTTATCATAAATGAGAAAGAAGAGCTCTACTTTTTTTTTTTTTCTATCTTACAATAGCTAGGTTTTTCTCTAATAAAACACTTCAACTACTTTTTTTTTAGTAATTAACATCTTAATTAAATTAATGAACCTAAGTAATAGTTTAGCTCAATTACCATTGGGCTGGGGTATTACAAAGAGATATAAGCTTCAATAACAACTTGATCTTTTCGTCTCCAATAGGCCCAATATTTCAAATTCATCTAAATTGCTTTATGGGTACTTCTTGTGAGCTCAAATCACATTCCTTTCTTTTTCTTGATATTATAGAATATTGTAACGACAAAAACTCATATGTTCCTTACCCAAACACTATCAGCAACTATAACACAATTTATCTTGATAGAAAACTAAAAACAAGATCATACCAGAAATAATTTTTTTTAGCAAAAAAAAAAAAAAAACCGATAACAACTATCAAACAACCATTGTTAAAGCCGGGTAAAAATGCAACCCAACTAAATGCTCAATAATCTACTGATAACGCAGGGTGGAATTCAGTCAAATTTCAACTTAACAATAATTTAGCCTTTCATTTAGTCGTTGCTTTTATTAATTACTTTAAGCTATTTCCTTTTCGTTTCTTCAAAAATTGTTGTAAACCATGTTTGATTATTAGTTAAATCTTAATTATTCCATATTAAACTAAACCATGCAGAAATCTAAAACACCAAACAGCCTCAAGAACAAAAACCCAAAAATTGGCCAGCCACCTTGCAGCCTGGAATCCAATGTAAGATCGTCGTTGATGTCTGTTCGCGGCTGCTTATCACTACCAACAACCCCAAAAGAAACTAGAAATTCCCTTAGCTATTGCCTTCTGTTTGAAAACCTTAAAAAAAGAATCAGAAGCTAAATCTGTGAAAATTTCTTACAATTTTATTTTTCTTTGTAATTGTTGCTGTCCAATTTCTTGTGATTGTGATAACTGTGCTTATTCTTGCTTGGCTTGATTGTATGCTGAATTTTCGAATTCTGGATCTATTGAGTCGATTGAGCTTGTTATGGGTTGATTGCGGGATTGGCTTTTGTGTTTCTTCTCGGATTGTGCTGTTGGGAATTGCTGTATTACTATCCTGTTTTTGCCGCTTATTGCTTGCATATTGTTGTCTGGCTATCTTGTTGATTGCTTACTTCCCTTGTGTATGCCCGATTGTTCTATGTAAACTACTTGGTTGCTCATTATTATACAGGAATTCAAATCCCAAATTAAATAGGAAAATCTTAATGCAACTGAATCTATAAAGATCCGATTTTAATATTTTGAAATCTTCTTTCATTTTTACAACAAATTGGTGCTGAAGTTTTTCAAATTGATACTGTTTCTGGGAAGATTGATTTTCCTCCAAAGGCACCGCACCTTACACTGTAGTAAACTATGAAAGCTAAAGCTATGTTTTTAAAATTTTTTTAATCTTGAGTTCGATTATTGGGGGTGAGTGGAATGGGATTTGTGTTGGTATTATTAACTTACTCACTCAGTCTAGGGGTTCAAATAGCGGCCGAATAGCAGAGTAGTGGCTGCTATCCACCGCAATGAGAGTAACCAATCACACAAATAGCTTCGCGGCTGTAAATAGTGGTCACTCATGCCAAACCACAACAATCAAAGTCCAATAAATTTATGCTTCAATCTAGGTAAAGGAAGAAATTAATTTAAGGTAATTAAAAGATATTCACTTAAAATTACTATTTTTTCCTAAGATTTTCGAACATTTGAATTGGAGGTGTTGTGAAGATAGTGCCCTTACCAATTGCCGCCCATGCAGCGTTCACAATCACTAGTATTCATGCAACTGTTTTAATTTCGGCCTGTTTATGTTTTTGGGTCTTTGATTGGAGCTGTGCTTCAGCTGAGTTTAAATTTGGTTTGATTGAAATGCATTACTCTACCTTTTGATAATTTCTTTAGAAGTTTGCCTTAGACGCTGCCTACATCCTTACACTCCTTCTTTTCTCCGATGATGGTGGGCAACATTTCCTGTTATACTAACTTTGAGCTTAATTGGGTAGTCATTAGTTATCTCCCACTCTCTCTTTTGTTGTCATTTTACATGTTCTTACCTAATACATAGGAGGATTGTAAGTTTAAATCTCCTTTCATTAGTTTTTATATGATGGTAAACAAAAAACCGTGGAAGAATAACAATGAAACAGGGAACATACAACTGGAACCAGATTTTATTGATTTACCATTTTTATTTTCTTTCAAGGGCTTTTTTCCTGCTGCCCGTTTTGTATGTCTTAGGTGCAGAGGTTCTGAAAAAAAATCTTTTTGACCACCGATTCTATTAGAATCTACCTCTTTGAGGTCGGTCAAGTTGAGTC